ATCACAGAAAAATGATGTATGATATGTATGTAGCAACAATTGATGGAATCGTGTGTGTTTTATTTGATGCCTGAAGTTTAGTTTTTCAGCTTCAGCTTCGATATTTCATTAAAAAACTAATTGCAAAATTAAAACATTTTTATGAAGTGAAGCCAGGATTAATACAGCATATGGAGATTCAAATAAAAGGGCTTGTTTATTAAAAAAAAAAAACAAACACTTTTTCCTCTCTGTTGCAAAAAAATGATACTTAAGTTTTCTTAGGCAAAGTTTTAGTCTGTCTGCATAAGTAACGTCATCTTTGGTTTGTCGTGTTTATGTATTTCCTTATGCAGGAGTCTGTGCTGGTATGAAGGAACTGTTCGCCCTTGAGATGCCCTTGTAGTAACATCAGACAGGAATCCACTGCAAGCGCTCGCTGATGAAAACATGGTGATGTTCAGCTGAGACTCATGTCTCTGTCTGACTGAGCTGAGTCACAATGCAGCGAAGCAAACCTCCATGAACAATAAAACACCTTTCAGAGCCACATCTTCTACCTGATACTGGCGCCATAAAATGGTTTCAATGGAAAGCAGCTGAACTACTTTCAATTCCTGATAGTGTAGCTGCTACTGAAAGGGCAGCTAGACTGACCTTTCAGAGTCAAAACCATGGAATGGTTCATGAACCTTTTCTTAGAGTCCTATAATTGTTGATGGTGATAAAAAAAAAGTGGAAAGACTTTAAAGAATCAGGAAGATGCATGTCAAACCTCTTTTTGTCCCATTTTCAGAATTTTACTCTTAATTTAAAAGTTGTATTTTTTTTTTTGTCTGATTTAAACTTTTCTTCAGTTCTACGTCTCGTCAGAATGAATCGCATGTTGTTTTTCTGTTGCCTCTTTTGATACTGAGCAGGCAAAATGAACCTGATGTGGCCAAACCTTTAATGGTCATTACCTCATTTTTCCATCCATTTGATTTTTTTTCTACATTCAATCAGTTTCCATCCGTGTTCAGATTTTCAGCTCATATGTAGTATTTCTGCAAGGCCCTCGTCTTCATCAAACTGACCACAGCTATCCATCATATTAAATTACATTTCCTTGTTGGCAAGTTCTGCTGTGCAATGATTAAAGCATAACTCCTTTTTTTGCAAATCTATTACTAATCTTAACTTTTTATTTTATTTATTGCACTTGAAGAATAGTCCCTTCTGTAAACATCTGGATTTGGCCTGCTGGGTTTTATCTGGTCTGATATGATTTTCCTTCAGAAGTTGTGTTTGATCGCATTCAGTTGACATGAACCCTTTTAGAGAATCTATGGAAACTAAATGTTCAATATTCCATTTTTTCAGTTATACTTGACAGAATCATAGCAAAGAACTACAGATTTATTTTTTATTTTTCGGTATTGTGTCAACCCGCCTCTCGCCCGAAACATTCGCTGGAGATAAGCACCACTAGAGAGAAGAGTGTAAGGAAATGGATGGATGGATGGATGGATGGATGGATGGATGGATGGATGGATGGATGGACGGACGGACGGACGGACGGACGGATGGAATTCTGTCTGGCAATGGAGCAGGCAAAATTATTATATGTGCAAAAAAGAATGAAAACAAATTTAGTTCCACCAGTGGAACATTACAGCTGTTGATATAAGCTGATATATCTGATATATGGTGCACCTAATATGTTTATTTTAAATGTAATGGAAAGTTACAGTGAAAAGGTAGGGAGAAAGAGGAAAGAGAAAGAAAAAGAGGTGAGGCAAAACACTAAAAGAGAGAAATAAGAATAGAGGAGAGAATGAAAAATAGAGAGAACACAAGAAAACAAACACCATATAATCTGTTTCTGCACCTGCAGAAAGATGGTCAACAAACACAAAAAAGCATTTGGCACTAATTAAAAGAAAATGTATTTAGCAGTAAGTGCAGAGTGAACACCTGAATCCTACCTGAGTGAACATCTGGGCTCGTACAGCAGCTGAATGTCTGCAGGAAATGTTTTTGGTGTATTTGAGGAAAGATGATGATTTCTCTGATGGTAGTTGTAGTCTGATGTAGTGGATCTATGTGTGTGTGTGTGTGTGTGTGTGTGTGTGTGTGTGTGTGTGTGTGTGTGTGTGTGTGTGTGTATTAGTGTGTGTGTGTATTAGTGTGTGTGTTGAAAAGCTGAGGTTGTGGGGGGAACAGCGGGGGTCTCTACTCCAGATCCAACCAATCACAGCTCATCATCACCCCGAACAGAATCACATCCTGGTCTTTCTTCGCCACGCTGCTGCCGGTGACGTCACCTGCTCCCCTCGTCAACCTCCTGATGGCTCTCTTCATCATGGCAACCATCACCATGGGAACTGTTGCACACATTACTTGTGGTCGTCAAGGCAACCTGCTTGAATAATCCTGCCTCTCCTCCTCCTCTTCGCCTCCCCCTCCGCCTGGCATACTTGTTTCTGTGCTGTGTTCCTGCTCAGTGAGAGGATGGAAAAGGGCAAACCGTGTACTTATGTTGATCACTCCACTGACAGTTCACATTTAATACGTTCCCCCAAGGCCCCACCAGCCTCTGCTCCACAAATACAACAGCTGGCTAAGATGGGGAAGGTGGAGGTGGATTTTTGTTCTGCCTCTTATGTGATCAGAGAAGGCAGGGAGCAGAGAGAGTGTGCAGGGATGACACGTCCCTGCACAACATCACATCCCCTACTGCTTAGCTCTTGATTAAAGCACTCTGATGAACTGGTTTCCATTAACATGTTCTTTGTAAAACACCTGTTGTACTTTTTTACTTCCCCCCATGTGGATTCTGACCATGTTGCCAAGCATTCACAATTACCTTAAGGAGTAGAAACACCATCTGCATTGTGGCCGGAGTGACGGATCATCAGCAGGGATGTGTTTGTTTCCAACAGATTCCAATGTCTCAATTTAAAACAGCATGTGTTAAATATGCATTTACACCTGTCTGTGTTGCAAAAGCAGAACATTCTTGTCAACAATTACTTCTTTCATGATGAAAGAAGCTGCACCATCAGAAAAACATGTTTTACTTCTATAAGCATCAAACCAATATGCTGGGTTTTAAAACTTCATTTCTCTTATTGGAAACAACTTTTAAAGATTTAATCTGGCTCATTTCAGATTCACTACAGCCCAGCCTTTCACCCAGTGGCCTCTGGAGATCTCCAATACAACACTGCATGGACAAGCAGGTTTAAACAATACATGGACGGATGGACATTCACCATGTTTAAAAAGTTAAAGGAAGTCTCACCTTTGCTATTAGAGATGAACATTGATTTGATATGTTGCCATAGCAATAAGGTATTGGTTTTACAACCGGGAGCAGCTGATTAGCATAAAAAAAACTACAGTAACAGTTGAAGAGGAGCTGAACAGGAGGCTTCATGGATACAAGTTCAAACCATCTCTTCCATCCATCATGATGGGCAAGGACAGCATCCCCTACTCCAACATCATATCCCCTACTCCAACATCATATCTCCTACTCCAACATCATATCTCCTACTCCAACATCATATCCCCTACTCCAACATCATATCCCCTACTCCAACATCATATCTCCTACTCCAACATCATATCTCCTACTCCAACATCATATCCCCTACTCCAACATCATATCTCCTACTCCAACATCATATCCCCTACTCCAACATCATATCCCCTACTCCAACATCATATCCCCTACTCCAACATCATATCCCCTACTCCAACATCATATCTCCTACTCCAACATCATATTGCCTACTCCAACATCATATCGCCTACTCCAACATCATATCCCCTACTCCAACATCATATTGCCTACTCCAACATCATATTGCCTACTCCAACATCATATTGCCTACTCCAACATCATATCCCTACTCCAACATCATATCTCCTACTCCAACATCATATCCCCTACTCCAACATCATATCTCCTACTCCAACATCATATCCCCTACTCCAACATCATATCCCTACTCCAACATCATATCTCCTACTCCAACATCATATCCCCTACTCCAACATCATATCCCCTACTCCAACATCATATCCCCTACTCCAACATCATATCCCCTACTCCAACATCATATTGCCTACTCCAACATCATATCTCCTACTCCAACATCATATCCCCTACTCCAACATCATATTGCCTACTCCAACATCATATCCCCTACTCCAACATCATATCTCCTACTCCAACATCATATCTCCTACTCCAACATCATATCCCCTACTCTAACCAGTGCTTGACAACAGCTGACAGCAGGGCATGTTACCATATGTCTTTGCTGCTCAGATGTTAAGATGTTAGCATTTCATACAGCAATAGTCTTCAGTCAGAGACTTCCTCAGACTTGCTGCAAGAGTGACTGCTACTGGAAATTGGTTCAGGTGTGTTGAAGCACGATGCATCTGAAAGTTGAAGGATGGCAGCTTTTGAGGACTGGACTTGAGCGCCCCTGTCCAGAGGTGTCCTGTCTGAGCTCCTGTTCATATGACCAAAATCAAGCTGGAGTTTTGTTAAAATCATAAACCACCAAGATCTGCTTCCAGATTTTTCCATACATTTTCATTTAATATTTCATATATTTCTGGCCATGCTATCATCCACTTCATGATTATTTCTCCAAGGCTTCACGTCACTGAAATAACATCTTCCACTAAATGTTTCTGCGCCTCTTTATTTATAATTAAACGATTGTTTTAGTTTGCAGTAACTTGTTTCCAAGTCATCTCCTGACCCGGAATCCGGCCCCCGCCCCTGCAGCCCGGTCCGGTCCGGCTCGGCCCCTGCAGCCCGGTCCGGTCCGGCTCGGCCCCTGCAGCCCGGTCCGGTCCAGCCCGGTCCGGGAGCTGTTCTTCAGCACCACTGGAACTGATCCCAGAGCAGCGGCAACAAAACTGTGTAAGCCAGCCGCAGATTTCACCTCTGAGCTTTAACTAGACGGTTTGTGTCTCTCCAAACTGCCTCCGCTTGCAGCGGTCCAGTCACTGACCTTTGTGGTTCCGGAGCCGGTGGAAACCCGCCTGCTGGGATCTCTGCAGCGCCGACAGTCCCGACACGTTGTTCCCCATGGCGGGATGAATGCTGGAGAATTCCCAGTGAACGATCCGACCGATGATGGGAGAAGTGAAACCAAACTCCTCTTTACTCTCAGACATGCAGTCGCGCCTCAGTTTCCGTCCAACCACGGAAGCGGAAAAGACGCACAGGGGGGCAGAGTGAGCGGATAAAACGTGAGCAGAGACGCTGGAGCAGATTTGACTTGATCAGATTTGATGCTTCAGTAATCCGCGGCAAAAAACTGCGGTTCAAAACATGATCGCATAAAAGCAGCTCAAACATTTTCCATAAACTGATTTGTTTATTAACTCAGTTATGTTCAGTTCGAAGAGCCGAGTGGATTTAGAGTTTATGGGTTCTACAGGACGGGTTCTTCTTCACCTCCAGCTGGGAGAAACTCTTTTCTCCTCAGATCTGCTGGAATAAAAAGTCTAACACTAAAAACATAATCCACTCACTGTGTGAAGCTGCCATCTAGTGTAAATCATCACAGGGACGGAACCAATCAGTTCAGGTTAAAAACTCACTTTCTTTCTAAAATGTGAGGAAAATCAATTTTCCTTCCAGCTTCAGGTCAACATTTCCAGAATGCTCTGCTTTATGACTCATATGGTTAATCTCAGAACACACTAACTGGAGACAGAAATGAACCTTCATCACGTAGAACAGTGTTTGTTTTAGTCCAGTGTCCGATTATTGATTATTGAAAACTGGACACATCTGTAACATCTCAACACCTTTTGTTCTTTTTGATGTCAAATATTACAGCTTTTCATCTCTGGTGATAAATCCTCCTGAAGCAGGACTGGGTTGATTCCATCCGTCCGTCCAGTAATCAAAAGGTTCACACCTTGTGCCTCGCAGTGTGGATAAATAAAAACTAAATCATTTTGGGGGAATTTCCTGACACATAAGATGCAGGATATGAAATATAAAATGCAAAAGCTTATTGGAGAGGGATTTAGACTGGGTGAGGAGTATTGATGAACAACAGCTGAATAGGTCAGTGGTTGATTGATGGACGTATCCAGAACCTGTTTGTGGTTCCAGGAACTGGTTCGGATGAAAACTGAATTTATGACTCTTGAGATCAGTCATGAAGGTTATTGAAGGTCCAGAGGTAAAGCAGTCACTCAAACCTAAAGACTAAAGAAGGAACGAGTTCAGCTGGAGGTTCGTCAGGCAGAAAGTTCAGAATCACTAGAAACTGGAGACCCAGAGACTGGAGTTCATCAATAAAGGCTGATCGACAGGCACTGAATGATCATCATGTCGCTCCTTAAATCACCAGTAGAAAGGTCAGTCAGTCAGTCAGTCAGTCAGTCAGTCAGTCAGTCAGTCAGTCAGTCAGTCAGTCAGTCAGTCAGTCAGTCAGTCAGTCAGTCAGTCAGTCAGTCAGTCAGTCAGTCAGTCAGTCAGTCAGTCAGTCAGTCAGTCAGTCAGTCAGTCAGTCTACTGCAAAATGAAGTAAAGAAAGATTATAACTTAACAAATCAAATAATTTTTAGGCTAATTTAACTGAAAAAACTAATACAAATTAAAAAAATCATAAAAATCAACATTGAACTACACGTTTGTGATTAAATGTAAAATAATTACCAGCTACATTTTCTTAAACTGATAGGAATATCCAGCTCGTTATGAACATTTCCCCTGAATGATGGATCTGCTTTCTGTCTTCCTGACAGCCTGAAAGGATGATCTACTTATATCTAGGATTTTATATTCCATATTTCATGAGTAAAGACTGGAATACAGATTGATTTGTAAATTCAGAGCTTCAACTTTGGTCTCAGAAAAATTGTCTCTTCACTCCAAACTTATCCAGATTTACCTGCAGCTCCATTCTGCAGTCTCTTAGGACCAGGATGAAAATATGATGCCTTCATATTTTCAGCAAACTGATATATTACTCTGAAGCATTCTCCTTTTTATTAAATACACACTTCTCATCTCATAACATGCACTTGCACTTAACAGCCAACAGCTTCAACTGGAGGTATTAAAAGCTCAATCCGACACGATGACGTAAAATGACTTCACCTGAGGTGAGAGCAGCTCTTGACTCAGAATACTCCTGACAAGAGACAGAGAACATTCTCTGAGAGGTAAACGGAGAAGCTGTGGGCTGCAGGCCTTTCATCGTCACAGAGTATTGGTATGAGCCTGAACTCTGTTAGACACACTGAGTCACATTTTCTGCTCTACCTTCACTTCCATAGAAGTGCTCACCTTAGGTTTTATTGTCTTTTTTAAAGGAGGTACATAAAAGAAAAGGCCAGTGGGCTTTGTGCTAAACAAACTGCTGAGATCAATAAGGGAAATGTTGCCTTGGACATGAGTAACTGCTGACTGCTGGAACAAAGAAACCAACTCTGCTTTGGAGAGAAGTGAGGAAGGTAAAAGTACAAAAGGCAGCAGAGTTTCAGCTCCACGCCAATCACAACGGTTCATAGAAGAGCTGAGGTGATGTGCACCTGCCTTTCATTGTTTCTGAATTTAGCTGCAGCTCAACTGCTTCTGAAGTGAAAAATGATGCAGCAGGCAGAAAAAGATTTCACTCAAATAAACCCTGAAAATGTTTCGCTGCAGATTTACTGACGAACAGCACAACATGACGTCCAAACCCAAAGAGCTTCTTCACATCTTGTCGCCACCTTCAGTTTAACTTCTTGGTATCTTATGAGACAGACCAGGATAGAGTTGTGTGCATTGTGAAGAGGAAGGGAAATGAGACATGATTTTCAACATATTTTATAATAACATAAAGAACATGTGATGAGTTGGTAATTCAGCCATCCTAGAGTCGATCCTTTGTGTTGTTATCTGTCCCAAGTGGTCAGATAATTATTAGCCAAACTACCAGTAAAGAAATCAGTTTCATTCATGCCATAGTGTGAAATAATGTTGTGGTGCTTTTTATTGGATCGGTTACATTAATTACACAGATATGGATAATTAATGTAAAGTATTATCTGTTTTCTTGACCTTGTGGTGTTTATCTGCGTTAGTTTTGCATTGCGCCACATAACATGATGGTCCAGTTGGCTTTTCGTGTACAGAGCTAAAGTATGAATTACTTTCAGCTCTGACTGTTTGTTCAGCCTCCTCAGCATGCTGTCGAGGTCTCAGCATCGATAGCTAACATGTCTTGGTATCCTGAGGCAGAGGAGCATCCATGAAAATCCATAGTTTAAATAATCATGGTCATGATTCCTTGCTTTTTGTTCTGCTTGCCTCAGACTCAGTCTCGTCTCTCACTGTAGCTTTCGCTACAAATTTTTTACCCATTTTGTTTGGGCATGGACCCGAAGAAGAGGTGCAACATGAGAAGTTGAAATTTTCTCATGTTGCACCTCAAGAGCTCCTAGAGGAGGCTCAGCCCACACTTTGTGAAGCCCTGGCGTGTGCTGCAGTTTTAAATGCAAAGGTGTGAATGTTACCTTGCTACAGCAGCAAACCAAAATGACTGAAAGCCCGGAGTGAGTGGTGAGAGAAACATCGTTTCACAGAATCTTTGGGGGAAAGAAGAAGGAAAACTGTTGTTACTGATCTGTCAGTCAGATGTTTTAGAGCTCAGCCTGAGCAGCTCTTCAGTGTAAGTCAGTGTTGCCGCCCGTCCAGGCAGCTGGCTTAATTAATACAGGAGGGTATTTCTCCCAGTTTCCACTGGTTGGTACACAAATGGAGGATCAAAAACAGAGGAAATGATTCTGAGATCATGCAGTCAGACAGTCACTGACAGCAGAGTGCCTCCCAGTTCTGTCCCCCTCCATCCCACCAGTGACTCCTGGCCCCCCGGGGTGTTTCTGTGGCAGCGGCCAGGTGCAGCCCAGCCAAGTGTTCCCTCCATGCCAACCCAAACTGTCCCTGGCATGAAGGGTGATAAATGTTCAGCTGTTGCCTGCATTGTTTGGAGGCTCACAAGCAGATCCAGTTTTTTTGGTTGTTGTTCTTGCTATTGACATCTACAATTTGCCACAGCTTGAAGTGACATTTTACTACCAGGCAGCTGCATTGACTCTGGAAAATGGTCTTCATTTAACTCACTTCTTGTTTGCCTTGTACCTGACAGACTTACAGCATCCGTACCACTACAGCGAACACTGAGCTGTTCTTCCCAGAATGTCAGCAGATGACCCGGAGGTAAACCCACACGGCAGCAGCAGACCTCGCCCTCTCATGTTGTCTGTACATGCATGGCTATGGATGCAGGAGCCAGAGAGGCAAAGAGGGAGCAGATCTGAGAGCAGCTTCTCGCTGTGCAGATGAAAGCCTGGAACGGCGCTCTCATCTCAAACAGCTAAGGAGTCCTCAGAGTCCAGCTCTGCCTCTCCTTCCTCCATCAGTCAGGCAGGAAACTGAACACCGTTTGACCTTTCTGGAAAGCCGGACTGTAATTTTGTTTCTCGTTTGGGGGGGAAATAAAATATCAACCCACCTCGAATGGAGAAAAAAAATCCTCAGAGCCTGAGGGGGAATGAAAAAATGATTTTTGTTTGGCATTCAGAGTCTTGCATCGACATGCTGCTCGGTGCGCTCTCCCACCGTAGGGCTTTTAAATGTGATTTATGTTCAGATGCAGCTTCAGAGTCCAAACACCTCTCATCATCTGATTTCACATAAACACCCATCTTCATTTCCAAGCTTTTCAGCCCAAACAAAACTAATATAAAGTATCTCTAATTAAGTTTCCACAGGTTCTGTTTCTCACCTCTTAATCTCCAAATTCTTCATCCTTCCAAATGTAATTCAAACCATCCACAAGGGGGCACTGTTTGAATACATTAGAATACCTCTCCTTCCTCTACTGACGCTTTCTTCCTGTCAGAAGATGGTAGATCATTTCTCATCTGAAAAATTTGCAATTTAGCTTAAATTTCATCTGGATGCATCAGGCAGTGGAAATGTAGGAGCATCTGTAATGTTTCAGGTGTGCTGCAGGAGCGCAGAAACCTAAAGTGCTTTTTGATGTGCCACCACCTGATGTGCATTCTGATTTCACTTGGGTTGTTCTGCTCAAGCTGCTGC